GAATGGTTATCGTATGAATGGGATACGTAGGGTACTGTCTTACAGCACGTACACGGTACGACATGCCGTAACATTGAACTTAGCTGAACTTGCTTCCCATAAGAATGGTTAACGTATGAGTGGGATACGTACGGTACTGATTTACAGCACTTACACGGTACAACATGCCGTAACATTGATATGGCTTCCCATAAGAATGGTTATCGTATGAGTGGGATACGTACGGTACTGATTTACAGCACTTACACGGTACAACATGCCGTAACATTGATATGGTTTCCCATAAGAATGGTTATCGTATGAGTGGGGAATGTACGGTCGTAATATTTCACCCGTTCACTCATTGTTCCATCCTAAATGTTCCGTCCAGAGCACCCTTAATTCCTGTGCATAATTAATTAATGTTCTTCAACTCCTGCTATCGAYAACCTTTGATCACCATTGTTCATCATAATTTCCTATACTGTGCTATTATTTGCTAAAGCGTGGGTTTATTTACGCCAAAACAATCATCTATACTTGTAGTTTATTAATAGTATTTCCCCAAGGATTAATTCCGAGGGAGTTAACAGTGGAAATAATTTTCATCGATTTTATTACTAATACATACTTTAGGGATTCAAAAACCTGTCGAAACAACCCTCTGTTGGTACTTGTAGATCTTTATCATATTCTAAATCAATTTGATATCGAACGGATAAATTTACAACTCAATTCAAAAACTCATAGCTATCATATATCCCTGACCTATGAGCTGTAAATCAATAGGGATTTTGTTACCGGCGTTTTCAGCAGCGCTTTTGAAAACACCGCTGACTCCTAGACGCATCTTAAAATCTTTACAATCATTTTGTGCCCTGTTTCTTGGCACGACGTCTTGGCTTTTCGAGAAGAGACTGAATCATTTCTTAGGAGAGGCATTTTAGGTTTGTAATTTGAAAAATCATTCAACGTGACTCAACGAAACGTTTTTACAGTTGTTGACCTCAGGAGCATCATTCGATTCCATGTTTCGTTAGACGTCTATAAACTTCTGGGACTCCAGCATCAACAGTTTTAAACACTAAAGAATATCATCCATCTTCTCTTGAAACTTCAAGCTCACAAAAGATTTCTTATTTTTTCGCCAKGTAGTATAAATACCAAACATATTGTATCTTTGTATATTTTTTCATTGGATATTAGTGACAAACCACGACCGCAGAAGACGAAGATTTGTTGRGTATCATTTTTCGGCGCCAAAACAAGCCAGTTGTGTGACCGTTAGCCTTCCCGGAAGAGGTTTAAAAAGAAGTTATAATATTAAGATGTTTTACTTAAATAACTTGTTGTGAATTCTGTTCCAGGATGAGTTGAACAACACCAAGAAGCAGTTAGAAAAGGTCAAGTAAGTATCTAATAGTTTAATAATTTATTATAATTATTTGTATGTTGAGTAGAAATAATAATTAGTTATACTGAATTATAATTGATACTTGAGAGGATAGTCACAATGTGTATTTTCTCGTGCATTTGTTATACATGTACCTTTAGGCCCTGGCTAAACGAGGAAACATGTCTCCAGAAACATGTTTCCCTAAATGTTTCCTAAGGTGGCAAAACTGTCAGGAAACATCGGGAAACAATGTTTCCATGCGTCTTGGAAACATGTAATGTTTCTGCCGCACAGCAAAAACATTTTTTGTGTCTTGGAAGCAAAATTTGTTGCACACAGCAATGTTTGGCATGTGGCTAAACTGGGTAACATCGAGGAAACATGCGCGCGGTAAACATGTTTCTGGAAACWTGTTTCCTCGTTTAGCCAGGGCCTTAGTATGGTCATACAATAGTGATTCAATGTGTACCCCCTTGGGATAAATCTTATCATTCCCCACATCACTCCCCTAAAAAAAAAATAACTAAAAGAACGTCAATAAAAAGAAGTATAAAAGAAAAAATACAGTAGAATAAAATGAGAAAAGATACATCTGCCCACTTCAAATTAGGAAGATAGAATAAAAGAAAGAATGAAGGAAAGGAATTTAAAGAGAAAGGAGAGAAAAGAAACAAAAAATACGTCGTCCAGAAGTCACATCGCATACTTTTCCCTTGTTTAAATATAACTATTCAATGCAGGGACCGACGGGGTCCCATCCTTCACCCTTCAGATTTAACGCAGTAACACCCTGAACCAAATATTCTAAAGTTGCAATGAAATAAATGAAAAGTCAATTTATACACACCTAATGCCAAAACACTTTCAAATAACTTCGTTTTCACTTTGCCATTCTTTTCAGTCTGGTATCAAACAGCGAACGAGAAAACCTTAATCTAAAAGACCAACTCTACGACGCAATGAAGAGTAAAGAAAGCTCAGAAGCTGAGATAAAAGCGCTGAAAGTYCAGCTAAAGATGGCCGAGGAAGCGCGAGACGGTGCCAGGAGAGATCTTATTGACGCACACCGTAAGATACGCGAGGCTGAAGAAATTAAAGAARCGTCGAGGAAAGAAAATTTGTCTCTGAGAAGACAAGTGAAGGACGAGGAAATGGAGAAATACTCGCTGGAGAAGATCGTGGAGAACTTGAAAGAAAAGGTAAAAGAGATTGAAAAAATGGGATTGAAAATGAGAATCGAAATATTGGAGGATTTGAGTGAAAATGAGCGGAAAATAATGATAATGATAATGATAATGATGTGCCCTTCTCTTCCTTCTCACGTGAGTTTTTTCGCACGACGCGGTCGATAGACCTCCTCGGCTCTGGAGCGCTCGAGCGTAATGTTGTCTCATTTCAGACCACGTGTCATTCCCTTGAGAATAAGACTCTTTGTTTGAGTTGTATCCATATTCATGTGTCTTCTGATGTGCAACCGAGCGCAAACCTAAAACAAAGAAATGATACTCTAGGGAATGACACGTGGTCTGAAATGGGAAAACATTGCGAGAGAGCCGAGGAGGTCTATTAAGAGAGGGTCTGCGGGAGAAGTCCGTTAGTTTGCAATGACCACCCTTCCTTCCCCTCTACCTCCCCCCCCTCCCTACACACACTTACTCATTTCGAATCCCCTAATCTAATTTGTACAAACATTATTTCTTCAACAAAATGTGTGTAATATATTATTGATAGGTAAAGCAAGCTGAAAACGATAGAATCGAAACAAAAAGAGTCCTYGATGAAACAGAGAGCAAATACCGAGTGTGTGACGAGTCACGCTTATCCTTATCCAATGAGATTGAAGACATGAGGTCGAGGTTTCATGAAGTGGAGACTGAGCGTAACGAAATCCGCCGAGAGTTACAAGAAGCGTTACGTCARGTGAAACTACTGAGCTCAGAATGTCTACAAGGAAAAAGAGATGTAACTGATTTAAGAGAGAGACTAGCGGAAGAGGAAGCGAGGAGAGAAGAGATGAGATACGAAGCATATGCTATCAAACAAAGCATCATGCARCTTGAAGCTGACAAAGAGTACAACAAGCAAGATCTGGCAAAATCGCAGCGAAGGTTAGTGATTAATCCCTATTCTTTTTYTCGAAAAGTTCAAAGAGAGATTGACATCGACTTCATGTCAGTCTAAACAAAGGCTGAACACAATGAAGAATAGTTAAATATCGTGAGTCGTTTATTTAAGAAATATAAAACGCGCGCCCATGTCTCTGTACTGTTATATAAAAACGCTGGGAGAGCACGAGAGAAACAAGCTTAGGAACGCGAGACGTAGCTCTACACCTCTCAGAGTGTTTGTATCGCAGTACAGAGACATCATCAGCCGTTTTATATTTCATGAAATATTCTTGGAGGATTTTGCGCGAGCGCATGTCTGTGTCCTCTGATATAAACACGGTAGCCAGCCAATCAGCGCGCGCTTTATGTTTCAAATATATAATGAAGTAAAATATAGCAAAGTTAGATGGGTTTGCGCTGTGGTGCCAACTAAACCTAATCAAGTTTTATCACTTATTTTTTATCTATTTATTTTTTGTATTTCATTTGTTTAGGACGAAAGAAATGGAGGATAAATTCGCTTCAAAAGAAAAAGATTACATCGCGCAAATAAACGAGCTCAAACAGTTCGAAGAAAAAGCCAAGAAGAGGATGCGCGACTTGGAGGAAAATCTGGAAAAGACGACGTTTGAGAGAGAAAACTATAAGGCACAGCTATCAGGTAGGTTG